ACCTTGGAAAGAGGTGGGTAGCTTTCAAAAAAAAGTAACATAGGAAGCCTGCTATGTAAGTCTCTACTTTTCTAAGTGGAAAATTGTTCTTATCTGGCAGTGTGTCCCCAGATTTCACATGTTGGGATTGAGGGGGAGGATTTTGCAAGAAAGTAAACAGGAGGAAGGCTGGGCCCTGTGGCTCAAAGGCTGCCTATTGTGAATGTTTAGAACAGGGGTGTCAAACCAGCCTGTGGTGTGCTTAGATCTGGCCAATGGGGCCGCCCTAGAAACAGTGAGAGATCGGCCCGCAGTGCCTCTGCCAGCAAAAATGGAGCTCGGGAGGGCTGCGTGCGACCCTCCTGAGCTCTGTTTTCACTGACAGAGTGTTGCAGGAGGCTGTCGCAGCTGAAAACGGAGCTCGGGAGCCCGTTTTCGCTGGCAGTGCTCAGGCCACCATAGGTGCCCCCGACATGAGTGATGTCGAGCTGGTCACACCCACCCTGGCCACACTTACCCCAACCCATCAAGGTCAAACACAACCCTGATACAGCCCTCAGTGAAATTGAGTTTGACACCCCGGTTTAGAAGATCTGCCAAAGGAACCTTCTGCACCTCGGCTGGATAAACACAAAGAGCAACAGGGACACGAGAAAGGAAGATGAATTCAACCTAGGTCTTGCTCTCACTCAAAGCAGACTGGCTGGTGGGAGGGGAGGTAGCCCCAGGGATGTGGGTTGGGCAAGCAGCCCAGAACGCTCTTTCAAGAGTTGTCCCCTGGATAGACTCTCACCTGTGAATGACGGTGAATAAATCTTCTGTGGTTCGGGTTGTCACAAAGACATCGTCATCTTCCTCGGTTATGGACTCGGCTGTTTTGTCATTTACAAAGCCTTTTTCTTTGCTCCTCAAACCCACAGAATTCCCTACGGAAAAGTAAAAGAGAGCCTTGGGAAAAAAAAATAGGTTGCTTCCTACAAGTGGGATTCAGAGAGCAAGTAGGACACAGAAAGTAACAGGGCGTCCCTCAAACAGTGATAGGCAGCATCTGCGTACGAAGGAAGGGCAATAAAATAAGGTGGAGCACTTTGTTTGAAAGATATTGGTTTGAGTCTTCCCACCGTCTTCAGGAAACCATCCAGTTGGCCACAGAATGGCGAAAACAGTTTTCTTTCTCTCTTTGCTGCTATCTAGTGGTTGACTGGATGTTTGCATCCCCTAATCTTCAAGACCTACGCCATAAATATCTGTTCTGACTGAGGCTTCGCCAGTAACACGAAGCCGAATCCTCGTCCTGATAAACCTCCTTTATTTAATTTACAGTGAATTCCTATCCAGCAAAGTCCCAATCCACAGTCTTTCAAGATATTACCAACCTTTATCAGGCTTGGTGAGTGGCCACGCTGATATCTTTCAGACACCAACATACTTGGCAAGAATGCAGGAATGAACTAATTGTCTCCTGAAAACATCCCTCCCCTTTCGCTTCTCTTTGATTTCCTTAAGGGGCCATTCATCATCGGGCTGTGGCCTTACTCCCAAGTTGACCCCTGTTCTTTAGCTGTTCCCTTCGTCTGGCAACTCTGCACATGCACACACTGGGAACAGGCTCCAGCTGTTCATCTGCCTCACTGATGTCTGACACCGTTATCAGCTGACTGACTTATCAGGCAGCTGATAACTGGCATACGGCTCTGGCCCCCTCTCTGCCTCCAACACAGAGCCCTCATCAGAGCCTTCCCCAGACTCCAGGACTGGCCCATGTTCCTCTCCAATCTCCTCACTGTCCGAATTTGCTGCCAGCTG